GTTGCTGGTGTTGCGGCTGCAAATTGCTTTTCAAGGATAACTTCTCCGCGGAGGCAAGAGACCCTGGAGGAACACTGCCGCCCACCAAACTCTGGCGGACGAGGGACGGGTTCTCTACTGTGACAAGCGGCGCGCAAGTGCTCAGCGTCTTGACCAGGCCCATGTGTCTCAATAGTAGTCAGGAGCTCTGCAATCCTATGGTAGATCTTCCAACTTGAGACCTGAGTTCCCATATCCACTCAGATTCCAGCCTTTGTATCGAACTGTAGAACCGCCGCTGCCAGAGAGTGAGGAGGGAGGAGGATTGTGTGGAGGGAGCCCATTGTGATGCTTCACGGGCGGTGGTGGGAGTGAGGCTGGTGCAGCTGGCAGGCTGCTTTTCTGGCCAACGGGAGCATGATGGCCGTTCGTACCGTTGGATGTGCTCTGCTCGTCATCCTTCATAAGGCCCTTTTCTCGCAGATACTGGATTGACTGGAGAACCGTCAAATCCTCTTGATCCTTGTCGTTGAGGATCAAGCGCTGCTGGATGGTAAGTGCCCCGTTGTTCGCTTCCCGCTCTTTCATGGCCGCCTCTCTGACAGCGGGATCGTGGACGAAACGGCACTTGCCCTTCTTGCCACACGTACCTCCCGTCGAGTAGTACTTGCAGTGTTTCGTAACATCTGCCTTCTTAGCTGGCGGGGGTGGTGGGGGGGCTTGCTGAGCACGACTAGACGCGACTTCTGGCTCGTCGTCTTCAGACTTAATTTCAACAGGGGAGCTGTCTCTCATCTCATCACCCTCGTCCTGCTGTTCACGCTTGCGTTTGATGGACGACTCCACCTTTTCTAGCTGTTTTCTCAGCTTGATAGCGAGGTATTCTTCCTTCTCTAAAGCGGCAGCAAACTTGTGGCTGCTTCCGTGTGCCACCTCGGCAGACTTCTTTGCCTTAACTCGTGCGGCCGTGGGGAAGCGCTTCTTCCGCTCGGCGATATAGGCAGCAACATCAGTGACCCTACGCATTCCATTAGCGGACCATTAGCTTGTTGTTTATTTCCCACTCACTGTAAAGCATCGGCGCCGATCAGCTTGCGAAGAGTCTCCTCTTCCATCTCATCGTCTTCAGAGTCCGAGTCTTGGCCTGGCGTAAGACCCAACGTGTTGGTCTTGCGCTTCTTCTTCTTACCAGAAGCGGCGTTGTTATCATGCTTGTGGAATCCTCCATCTTGACGATTATTATGATGATTTCCTTGCTGGCGGTGACGGCTTCTATCGTTGCCGTGTTGGAAGCCTCCACGGCCTCGCGTGTTGTTCCCGCGGAAGCCACCTCGTCCACGACCGCCATGTCCATCATGCTTGTAGTGTGGCTCGTGTGTTGGGCCGGAAGCATGAGGAGCAGGCGGCGGAGCGTGGTAGGGATACTGGGTAGGAGGCGCGTACGGAACCGGCTGAGCGCGAGGGTCTCCGTACGGTTGACCGTATCCACCATTCACTTGATGCTGGATCCCTTCGTTGCCGTATGCCGCAGGGGCTGGTGTACTCATGTTGGGAGCTCGCGAGCCACCTCGATCGTTGCCGTATCCGCCGCGGCCGCGGCCGCCACTGTAATGGTTCTGATTGTGTTGATCATGACCAGACCATTGTTGGGGGGCACTGTATGGTGCAGGATGTTGGTAAGGTTGCCCATACTGTTGCTGCTGGGGAGGCCCGTATCCTGGCTGATGAGGAGGCGGTTGGGCATGTTGAGGATGGGAGTAAACTTGGGGAGCGTAATTAGGATGGTAGTTGGAGCTGGATAAGGGAGCAGGAGCGTGGGCGCCATGCTGAGGCGTAGGATGGGCGTGATCGTGGTGCCACTGCTGCTGGGGAGGATAACTGCCGCCCGTGGGCTGACCTGCGTACGCAGGGCTGTGTTGGGGATAGGGCTGCTGGCGACCGTACTCGTACTGAGGCTGAGGAGCAGGCGGGTATTCGGGACGACCGCCAGACGTATAACCACCACGGCCACCTCGGCCGGGAGGAGCACCACCTCCTCTAGGGTGTTGTTGATAGGGGCCGCCGTGATGACCGTATCCAGGATGGCTCGCTTGTGCCGCCTGGGGAGGAGGTGGCGGCGGGCCGTAGTTGTAGCCGGACATCTTGGCTCGGCAACGTTGAAGCTCGTGTCTCGAAGGCTCGGCTCGGGTCTTCTCCGTTGTGATATTTACGGGATGTTCGATGATAGAAGGAGCTAGGTCGACCAAGAAACTTGGTGGCGTACCAGATTGCTTCTTTCGAAGGTGAGCGCTTGCGATCGTATCGAACTGCAGGGAGGAAGGGGGCAAAAGGGTGATGAGGTGCAAATCGATCTCAAAGGATGAATCTTTTCTGGAAGCAGGAAGACAACCTCGGAACAAGACACCTCGCAAAGATGAAATGCAAAAAGAAGGAAGAGCGAGGCGGGAGACGCAGCTTGATGCAGACTGCAAGTTCCCTGACGCGAAGCTGCAGCAGAAGGTGGAGCCCAGCAACTTTCTTCCTTTCTGCGGGCAGAGTTCCAGGCTCTGTCCTGGCTCAGGGATGTGGTTTCGGTGGCCGCAATAACTGTTCCAGCGGGTCGACTAACCTTGGGAGTGTCTTATGGCTGCCTTGGGGGCGCTTTGGTCCGCTGAGCCGACCCTTGGCTAGGCCAGAACCAGAGGGCGGTGTGACAGCGGGTGTCTTTTCCAGCCAGGCGCCCCGCGATTTTGCCGATTTTGCGATTTCATAGACGGCCAGCGACTCACCTGAAATTCCTTCCTTGAAAGGCGCTTTAGCTTCTAATTGAGTCCTCTTACGAGACGACGATCTGAGGGTCTCCATCCTTCAATAGTGTCTTTTTAATCGTCCAGAGGCCCTCATCGCCAGCAAATAATTGCCCAACATGTTCATCCTAGTAGGTTTCGATCCTGCAATTTTCACCTGGACGTATCACTAACACGGCCGCAGACCAAAATCGCCGATCTAGTCGAGATCGCACCAGAGGATTTCCGCAAGAAGAGCGGTGCCGCAATTGAGGACAATATCAACGCAAAGTACGCGAACAAGGTTATCCAAAAGATTGGCCTCTGCATATGTCTCTATGACATCCTCTGGACCTCAGAAGGACTCATCGGCCACGGCACCGGCCTCGTCAACGTCAACGGTATGTGAGAAATGTGCTCGGGAAGAGCGCATGCCTAACGTTCTTCTAGTTGAATTTAGAATGATCGTCTTCAGACCGTTCAAGGGCGAGGTCATGATTGGCAGGATCAGGAGTTCTACGCCAGCCGGCATCAACCTGAGAACAGACTTTTTCGACGACATTTTTATCCCCTTCGATGAGCTCCCCGAGGGTGCCGAATAGTGAGTGAAAGTCACTCATGATATCAAAGCCCAGTCTGGACTAACTTGTTCCAGCAACCACTCGGAGCAATTGTGGATCTGGAATATTGAAGGCGACAGACTCTTCTATGACAACCACGAAATGGTCAGATTCCAAGTTATTGACGAGGAGTGGCACGACCAGACGCCTGCGGGGCCAAGTCAAGGAGAGGAGGCCGCCCCGCCAAAGCCACCATACAAGGTGAAGGGCACGATGGCGATGGAAGGTCTCGGCGTGTGTCTCTGGTGGGATGGTCAGGGCAGCGAGTAGTACTTGGGCGGTCCTTGATTATCTCACAGGCGATGCATTGATTATTTTACGGGAAGAAGATAAAGACCTGGAAGGCGCATGGGCGGCACGGATATGTACATTGTTCTACAATTCTATAACTTGATACCCGAGAGCAGTCTTTGCTCCACATCATCCAGAACTGAGTAGTGGTCAACGACGGCAATGTTCTCGGCCTCGCCCTTGAACTGCTTGTCGGGGTCAACACCGGGCCCAAACATCTGGGGGGCGCCCTGGGCACCTCCCATCTGTCCCATTTGCTGGGCCATCTGGCTGGCGGCTGCTTCACGTCAGTACCCCCACTTTTAGGGAGCCCTTATCAAGACTAGCTTACCATTGTCACTTCCCAGAATGAAGTTGAAGACAGATTGTAAACCAAAGATGCAGAGGAAGTACCAGCTGATGCTAGACATCCATCGGGGATCCATGTCCTTGGTCGCGACACCAGCCTGGAGCATGCTCTTGAACTTGATGGTGAGCGGGAACGGCAGCTTCATGATGACGTATCCGCTGAAGAAGGCGTTGATCCAGCTCATGATCAGCGTGTTGGGGATAATCATCGCCATGTTGTTCTTCATCATGCCCATCATGCCGTCCATCGCACCCGGGTCCGTGAGCGGGTTCGCGGGGGGTTGGCCCTTGCGATCGGGGTCCTTGAGGTAAGCACCAGACTCATACGCAGCAACAAGCGTGTCACGGCGCGCCTCGAATGACTTCTTCGACAGGACGTGGTGGTTCGTTCGCACGCCGACGCCATGCATCATGGCGCGTTGCTCGCGGAGAGCAGGCTTGTCGAGCTTCTTGGGCGGGGTGGCGAGCATGACCGAGGCATAGTGTCGCAGAATACCAGTCAAGATCATGACCACGGTAATCGGGAACAAGATCCAGTAGCTATTGCGTTGCTTCGATTAGTCCCTACATGCCGAATGGACAATTGGCGGTAGATACGTACAACAACTGGGGATCCCGATGGATCGTCTGCACCGGAGCCTGGGCCATGGCGGACGTAATTGACTCGGAGCGCCGGGCAGGATGATTCGAAAAGATTGTGATGACGCTTGTCGTTGCAATTACGGCCTGGCGGTTGCGAGCTGGTGGTCGACGTTGCACCCCATCATCTTGGTGGAGAGCTCCTCTCGGAAAAAGAGTTTTGGCGGGGCTCCGAAAGACCACCTTCCACTTTCACTTTTCGACAATGGATTCGCGCAGGGGTCCAAGCTGTCCTAGCTCCGAAAGCCAGGCTGGAGGTTACAAGACATAAAACGAACCCAAATCCCATGCCCGCCATACTACGAAGCAGCGAACACTGGAACCGGATCACTCTACCCCGCGCGCAATTATTACCAAAATGTCGTCTTCAGAAAGAATAACGGTCCACAACTTGGCCGGTACGTTTCTGCCATTTTTCGTGCATCTTTGTCGCATCCGCACTAACAGCTTACCCCAGATCTCAAGAACACCTCGGACGATGCGCTCCCCAACTACCTCAACTCCCTCAAGTTCACCCAGTCCCACACCTTGACCGATGTCCGTCTGGGCCTCGGCTGGGGCGCGTTCCTGATCGCCGCCGCTTGCTTTGGCTGGGATTACAAGTTCGGCTTCGACGCGACCAAGTACTACACTGCGGCCGCCGTGGTCGTCTACTCGATCCTGAACGGCGCTCTGACGCTATGGATCTGGCTCAAGGAGGCGGGCACCGTATACGAGGGCACATCGCCGTCGGGTGAAAAGGTAAGTGCCAGCGTCATCTCCATCTGCAGCGTCGGATCCTTGTCTACGAACCCAATGACTTACACCAGCTGGGACAGATCAACATTGCAACCTCAACAAAGAAGAATGTACCAATTTACAATATGAAGATCACCATCACACCCAAGAACGGCGCAAGCAAGACTCTCGAGCTTGCGAAGCCCTTTAACCAATGGTTCGACTCTCAGGGCCACTTCGTCGCTTCGCCATTCCAGGAGAACCTCGCTACCAACATCCCCACCATTGGCAAGCTTGATCCTAAGCGCGTTCAGTCCACCTCCCAAACCTACTCTGCCGACGTTCTCGACGCTCTGTACGCCGAGAGCACCGCGACGGGTAGCGGAAGCGGCGCCGAGGCAGCGGCCAAAGGATCTAGCAAGCGACGCAAGGCGTAGATAGTCGTTCGGCTCTAGTCAGGGATTCGCTCTACACTTCTTAAATGCTGAATCGTCTTGTAAAGTAACCAAGGGCTTTGAGAGGGGCAAAAAGCATGCGATTTTATTTCCATCGTTCCGCAGCTGTGCAAACAGCGTTGGTTGACCCTGATCTCATTATATCTGGTTCTAATTTAAGTGTGATTTAAGCCCCTGAACGCCTCGCCATGCCGGCATCCCCTCAATGACAATGTCTATATGCATATCCAGGTTGCGCCGTACACGCGTCTTTTCCAGCAGAACCCGCCCGCTTATCCAAATTACACATCCGGTCTCTTCTTATTTGACCTCTGCCCAAGCCGCACGTGCAACAAGAGCAGCCTTCCGAACCTCCCGCACTCGATCACCCGATGACTGCGACAGTACGCGACGGACATGTGCCGCAGAGTCAAGCAGATGACGGTCCTCGAACTGGGGAGGCAAAAGACCCAGGAGACGGACGACGAGATATCGGCATTGCGCCTGGCTGATGTCCGAATGGTCGAACGGCATATACCCGGCCGGCATCCACGCTGAATCCTCGCTCTGGGAGCCGCCTCGGGTGTAAATAGAGATGCAAGCCTCGATGATGCTCTTAAGGAAAGGCTTGATGCGTTCAGGCGATCTCTGGGCGATTTCCTCCAAGACCTTGAGACCTGCTTGCACATCTCCACCAGAGGGCAGGTAGCGGACAGCGCAAAGCACGAGTCTCACCAGATCCTCTGTATCGTCCTCGTAGATGTTGAAGGGGAGATGCTTGACAGCAGCAAGAACAGCAATGCTATAGTTTGCAGCCACCAGCATGTCCTCGGAACTATTGGAGCCAGCGGGCCAAGCCTTTGCCAGCATGGGCTTGACCAACTCGAAGTAAGCCCTCTGCAGCCACAAAGGTTTGGCTAGTCCATAGTACTCCTTTGCCAGACAGCCATAAGGAGAGAAAATGATCTCAAAGTTGCGGGCAAGAGTGTGGCCAGTCTCCTTGTTGGCAGGGCCGAGTTGGATAGCCGAAAGAACCTGTTTAAAGGCATTACCTGTGTACCTTCGAAGAACACCCGCAGTGATAGCATAGACAGGCCTTGCCAGGTTAGCCCTCGCCTGAGCCGGGGTTTCTCCTGGGATCCTCTTTGCCTCGTGCTCAAGGAAGCCAGTTTCGTTCTCCGATTCCTCTGACAGACTTCCATCGCCAACAACAAACTTCATCTGTTGCTCAATCATTGCCACTATCTCGCTCAGCTTCTCGACTGCATACTTGTTGGCAAGAATCGTCAGGATATGAGCGACAATGTGGCGTGAACGGGGAGAAGCTGAATGATCGCGGGACAGTAGACCTGCAATTAGAATCTGGTGGGCTGTTCCTCTCTCGACCTGGGACGTCTCAGTGCACCGTTTTCCAGAAGAAACTCGGAATAAACTTACCAAGCGTTGAATAGCTGTGGGATGCAAGGGCTGAACAATACCCAACGAGAGTACAACAGCACGGCCTTGACTGAAGCCACTAATAGGAAATTTGGGGGGATCGCGCATGCTGTAAGATTTTGCTGGGCTGACAGTTCGCAACATGGCATCTCGCAATTGAGCATTGGCCCAGGGGTGTGCATGAGTAGGGTCGCTGTGCAAGTATTCGTCATCGCCGCGGAAGAGAGTTACAACCTCTTCATTGAGGAGCAGCGCAGTCTGCTCCAGTTCATTCATTTCCCGAATGACAAAGGAGGCCATGGTGCTGATATAATGCAGATAACAGTCCTCAAAGTTCCGCGCGTCAGGGTCCTTGTTCACAAAATCGGTACTTAGCTCAAGGGACAGCTCAGTGTCATCCGCATAGCTGACGATCCTCGTCGCCCTTCTGTAGAGTTGTCGTACCACAAACAAACTGATCAGAGTAAAATCTCCATGGAGCTCATCGCTAGCGTTCTCCAGAGGTTGTTCTTTGCTGTCAACATCCATAGCGTCAACAGCAGCAGCCGAATCGGAACTCTCGCCATCAACACGGGGCAGCTGGGGGTATCGAGCTGCTACATAGTTGACCCACGTCTCGGGGTGGAAGCGCTTATCCTTGAAGTTGAGGGCGCTGGATCGGGGAACGAGTGCATGGATAGCATCTCTGTAGTATCTCATCGTCATCTGAATCCCAGATGCGAATACTGACCAAACCTGGGGAGGTGCCTTGATGTCAAGCATAGACTGCAGGTTCTTCAACAGTACACCGAGTAGAAGGATGTAATTGCCGAACTTGTTTGCTTGGCTGGGTACCTGAGAGCAGCTGATGAAAGCTAGCTTAGGAATGATCTGCTCAAGAGTTCCGATCAAGCCAGTGACCGACGTCTCAGGAGAAGCAATATACGGCTCGCATACTCTGAAGCTGTCCTCGACCAGTTTTTCCAGAGCTGGCGGGTAAGCTGTGGTTGCCTTCTGGAGAGCAAGCACCGCTTCGTCGGCTATGTTAGCCTGAAGCTCGTCTGTAGCGTATCTCTCTGGCGCCTTGAGGATCACACTTGCTAGATCATCGCAAATCTCGGACAGAGTGGCCTCTGGAAGCATAGGCTGTGTGGACAATCCTGTCTGAGCGGCGCGCTGGCATACCATGAGGCCCATACCCTTGATAGCTTGCTGTCCGATGGCGGTTTCTTCCTTCTGTGCACCGTCTTGGATTGCTTGTTGAAAGGGAGGCAGATATGCCTGTTTGTAGAGGGGTGCAAGCATCGGCTCTGTTGCCTTGAAAGCAGCTGCGTCGTCAACGGACAGTTCCGCCCCGCCACCGATAAGAGCTTGTCTCAATTCAAGGAGAGAATTGAGCAAAATCAACAGATTTTTGGTGTGTTCGGGTGACTTCGTGTGACGAAGATTGTCCTTGACATGGGTGATGGAGGGAGCGATCATAAGAGCAAACGCTGAGGGCTTCGCGCTGTGCACGCTAATAAGCAGTTTGCCTGAAGCTGCCGTGTATATCGGGTTGGCGAGGTCTTCCAAGCAGTCTCGCTGGACGGTCAGGGCGAAATCTCTCAGCTCGTCACCTGAGAGTCTCTTGGCAATGGTACGAATGACCTCGAGCGTAGCGTTGATCGTGTCCTCAATTTCTCCGTTGCGTACCTCGTACTTCAGACTGCCCCAGATCTTCTCAACGAAGGGCGTAATTCCTTGCTGGACATGCTCATACTTCACCAGGCAGGCGGTCAGCGTTTTGAGAATATCAACCTATAACACTGTCAGTTTAGCACGGTCACACTCCCGAAATGGCTACTCGCCTTGACGTTCACAGTCACACTATCTCCTTGATCGAGCCTTCCAATTAGATACGGGATCGCCTTGCTTGCGATCCGATGGTGCGCAGAGAAACATTCTCGAAGTGCAGACTTGAGGTCATCTGCGGTGATACCAGATGGATGTTGCGATGCTCTCAGTGAGATTGGGAAGTATGCTGAAAAAATGCCGAAAATCTCGTCCACGAGCTCTTGTGCGGGGGAATAGTCGGCAAGGAATGTCTTGAGGATCTTGAACCAGATCATCAAGCATTTAGGATCTCTCTCGTTGCGGCAAAGCTGTAGGAGGTCTGTTATGAAGCCGGTAGTAGCGCCGTGCTGGTACTGCAACTCGCTTGCAACATCGGGGTTGGTGACGAGATGGTCCAAGAGTTCATACACCGTGGCGCGAGTCTCTGCGACCTGGTTTTTGAAGTCATCACCGAGACTGCAAATACTCTGAATGATGTCGTTCCCTTTGGAGGGCTGAAATGCCTTCATACTGGTCGTTCGTTCGAGTGCTTTGGCGGCTGGCATAATGCCTGCTTTGTGATCGACCTTGAACATGCTGCCAAAGAATGCAACAAGGAGATTCACTGCAATGACTGGTCAATGGAGATTCCTACTGGAAGAGCAATATCATTCACCTTGATCTGCCTTCAGAAAGCCGGGGTCCAAATGTTCCAATGTCCCTGCCAGGAAGCCAAGGGCTAAACCAGGGTTAGTATTGGCCTACAGCGTACTACCGGGACGAGGGCCTTCACCTTTGGAGCGGGCAATGATGTCGCCACTTGACTCTCCATCCTCGCTGTCTTCCATTTGGTCGGCGTTGGCATTGGGCATCCACGGCCTGATGGACTCAACCCATCTCGCCACAGGATTGCTGGGTCTAGGTGCTGATTGTATTGCTAGAATCAGGGATCAGCACTCTGCCTGTCCAGGGGCCTTGGGTCTCAACGTCTGATAGGGCTTACCTGAAGATGCTTCCTTGGTGATCGATGCATGTCTCTCGAGGTCGTCGCTGAGGACATACTCTAGTGCCAATTTCCTGAAATCTGCCATGATACCCAGCCTCTTCAGGCACTGCGTTGTTTGCGATGATGTCTTTTTCGAAGGCCCTAAGAGCAAGTGTATGGCTGAAATGTTCAAGTTGTGTCTCTGCTGATGTTTTTTGTAGTTGAAGAAGGGAAGTTGGTTGGAGAAAAACTGAATAGTGAGATTGGGCCGTTGAAATCAAAATCAGAAGTTGCGATGCGCACCCGCACTTGGCTATGAAGTACACCCCGCACCTGCTCAAAATGGTGGCCGCTTTCAGGGGTTAGATACAAAACTTCAGATCTCTTCCATCTGATGATCTAGAATAGACGAGGTAGGAAGGCGCGGGTAGGATTTTTCAGTGCACCAACAGGAAGGCTTCAAAACTTTTTCGTCAACTGATACTAGCTTCACTTCACTGGCCGGCTTTCGGTGACAGGCTGTGAGATAATTACTCAGATGAGATGGTGGTGGGGGATATGCTTTGGGCAAGCGGTGTGTCTCTTATCAGGCTTATCGCGGCCTGGAGGAACCAATGTCCGATGACGGTGACTGTCCAGGATTAGCATGCCTCCTCCTTCTAGTCCTTCGTTTTCCGGGATTTCTTGAGGTTTGACGTTGAGTGTGTATTTTGGTGATGTCACTGATTTACATGAAGAAAAAAGAATTATCCAAATATCATCTACCATCGTAGAATCTCTAAACAATCTT